TCATCGCGCACCAATCCATGGTCAGTAGGAATTTTGGAGTGATAGACAGATAGGGAAGAGAGGTGGGGTGAGATGGGTAGTTAGCTTGCAGGGTTCTTTTTGTCTTTCCCACTCTTTTCTCGGGTCCTTCTTTAAGTTTCTGTTTCGGGTTTCTTTTTGTCTTTCCCACTCTTTTCTTGGGGCGGGGGGAGGGTATGGAGGGGTCAAGGTTTTTGTTTCGGGTTTCCTTTGGATTGCGTGACGTCCCCAAGCTCAATAATGTCTTTGTAACGAGCGCTTAACACTCTCTGTGCATCAACGTCCGTCTCACAGCTGTATCTGTTTTCTCACTGGAACTTCAAAATACTCGAGAGCTTCCCAACAGTCTCCCGCATCGTCCCACAAAAGAGAGGACGACAAGCCCATCACCCTCGGCGAATGTCACAAGGATCATCCGCCATGGCTTCCTTCAGGTGCGAGCTAGTAACGCGTCGAGGGTTTTAGGCAGCTCGGTGTTTCTTTCCCTCGTCATCGCCCCTTTAAGGGGTCTGACTATCGTCCCGCCCTGCAGCTAGTTTTTCATTGTACGTTATTTCTCGCTCTTGACAATGTTTTGAAGGCTGCATTCGTAATCTCAAATCTATCTTCCCATTTCATTGAGAAAACATTATCGAGCAAAAAATATTTTGGCTTTGTCTCATTCATTACTCTTAGGACATCCACTCATTTTCAATACAATTTTCCTCTCCCCAAAGCTCAGGCATAGCTAAATCCACGTGCATCCTTCCCGGGTCATTCCTCCCGGCCTTTCTCAGGTCCTGCCAATTCCGCATGCATATCATCCTCTGCCTTTTCTTGCTCTTTACTTAATTGACTCTCCATGTGCAATGTTTGGCTCACCCCTCAGCCACTTCTCATCTCTTCAAGCTTATACGAGTTGATTACACAGTCAGCCCTTAGTCTGCCAGTTCCAGTTCATACCATGTCGCTTGCTCAAGTCTTTTCTGCATTGGCGTCTTGCGAGACCCCCCCTTTTCTCAGGCCCATGCAACCCCAATTACAAGTCTTTTTTCTTTTATGGGTCTCTTGCCAGACCCTTTTTACCATGTCACTTGCTCAAGTCCTTTATGTCCTGGGCGTCCTGCCAGGCCCCCTTTTCTTAGGCCCATGCAAAGCCAATTACAAGTCTTTTCCAGTTCTGGGCATCTTGCCAGGCCCTTTTCCTATGCAAAACCAATTACAAGTCTTTTGCATGCGTTTTCATTGGTAGATGGCACACCTTCCCCCCACTCACTCGGAGGTACGCAGACCTTTGGCCTGCCGACCGCAAGTCAAGGACACAAGCCCATCCGCTTCACAAAAGGAAGAGTGATCAGTTCTTCCCCAGCGGACGATGCCTTATCCTTCTACTCGGTCCGACCTTTCTTCTCTTACGTGGCGAGCACCAATACCAAGGTTCCTCCTCACGTCTGCCAGGTAGGTCCAATCCAAGCCTGCCAGGGCCTCGTCTAGCCGTAAGAGCGTTCCTCGCGAATCGTTCCTCCCGAGTGGTAATTTTCTGGATTTCGGCCTCTTCCTTTCAAGAGAGTTGGGGCTCTCAATCAGTCCGCGAGTGAAGTTACGAAGACCTCGCAATTAGTCCCGAAACGGTTGTAATGTTCCGGCAGGGCAGTGTCAATGCCCCGTGGTGGTGGCGGACTCTACCCGGTACCTCGCCCAGCCTCTCTCCTTGGACAGTGCTGCCCAACTTAGCGCGGGCATCCGTGGTCCGACCCAAACGGCCATGCCACCCCTCTATGACGTGGCGTGTGGTTGGAGAGTAGCAAAATAGACTAGATGAGAATGGCTTTCCTGCCCATTTGGTTCTCTCGCCCTTTGACGTTTAGGCGTTCAACAGGAGGCGCAGTTGGAACTCCCAGACTCGAGCTCATTGTCGGAGGTGGTTCCGGACGTCCCGCACCAGTCCAAGTGGTAGGTGCCTTAGTCCTTTAACCCTCATTCCCTTGAAGAAGGAACAGGTCGCGCTGAGACTTTTCCCTCAAAGGGATAGAGGTCTTGGGGTCGTGGTGCGTGCACCAGTATCCCCCTCTTGCCGAGGCCAAGGACTAGGTGAAAAAAGAAATCCATTTCAATGCTGTTTCCAAATCCATTTCAAGTTGCTTAGGGTCCCTTGCTTATGCAGTGCAATTTTCAATACTCAATCCAATTCCAATGCTCAGTCTCATTCCCATGCTCAAACGCAGTCCAATGCTCAATCTCAGTCCAATGCTCAATCTCAGTCCAATGCTCAATGCAATATCTCTTCCAAGGCTGAGTCCAATATCCTTTTCAAGGCTGAGTCCAATATCCTTTCCAGGGCTGAGTTCTTTCCAATCTCTTCTCCAAGGCTCGACTCTTTCCGATCTCTTTTCCAAAGCTCAGCCCTTTCCAATTTCTTTTCCAAGGCTCAGCTCTTCCAATACCATGCATCTCAAGCGGCCATGCAAGGGGACCCCAGTGCCAATTCCAAAGAATGACCCTTGTCAGGGGCCATTCGATCAACCTGGTTAGGGTCGTTCTTTCCAATTCCAAGTCGAGCAGCCTGGTTAGGACCATCCTTATCCATTTCAATTGGGCAGCCTGGTTAGGGTCATCCTTGTCCATTGCAATGTTAGCGCCCGAGGGGGTGGCCCTCGAGGACACGGATCCTATCTCGTCTCGGGGGTTAGAGGGCGGCCATCGTCTTGGGTTCTTACGCATGCTTCTTCCTTTTCCTTATGTCTTTTGTTATTGTCACATCCATCCATACATCCGACTTAGCGTCTAGTACTCAAGTTGAGGCTCGCGGCCCCAAGCAGCACTAGCCCCCCCGACCGTTCAACGATTACAAGGTCTACTGGACCATTTCGATGTTTCCCTGCCACTTTCTTGATTTCTCATATGCTTCTCAATGCTCTGGGATTGCCTGGGGTAGGTTGGATTAGGCTCCTAGGGGAGAGGGTGCCTCTCTACCCATAGGTCCCCAAACCTCTCACAAGGACTCATGCAACGACTCATTCAATCATGGATACACAACTTCAAAGAAAGACTTTTGCCGTGAATGTTTCTTCCAACGTTCAAGAGTTCACATGCCCCTGCCCATTTCCTTGAGGCAAAGTCAATCATCCCCAAAATTCGTTTCTTACTACCAAAGAAAAGTTCACGTTTTCCCCAAAGAGGCGAATACTCGTACAAAGTAGCACAAACCTCCCAACCCCCAATAGTTTCTCCAATCCAAAAGTAGTTTCATTACAGTCCTTCCCAAAAAGGAGGAGACAAAAGTTGAATGCAACGACAATATTACAGACTCGTCTCATCTAGGTCCCGCTATTTCCCCTTTTTCTTTTCCTTAATCTACCCAGCCATCCAGAATTTCATTCTAAGTGCAAGAAAGTTTTCGTGCCCATTTCCGAAGAAGCAACGACTTATATGAAGTAGCATTCGTTACCCAGTCCTTAGCCGCTTCGAGCTTAGCAGCTGTCTCATCATAGTTCATTCGAAAAGAAGTTCAAATGCGCAAAGGAAAGACGGTCGTTCTTGCTGCCCGGTTACCAACCCTTCGTCGATTCCCAGCTATTCCCATCATGCCTGCTGTCCCCTTTTACTGTCCCAGTGCCCGGCGCCGAGCCTCCCTCCTTGCACGGTCCTCCATCTCTTGCTCCATTAGCCTTTTTATCGTCTGTAGATGGCGAAGCGTTTCTTTTGAAAAGACGGTTGTTGGGGATATGTCTTCTCCCCTACTCAACTTTTCCTGGCCCTTCATTGCCCACTGATAACGCAAAATATTGGCCCATTGATCGAACCAATCACTGAAAGTTGGCCCGAATTCTCTTTTCCATGGGTCCTTTTCTTCCCCTGGGTCCTCCTCTCTCCCCCGATCTTCCCTTGTGGGCGTTGTTACCTCTTCTTCCTCGTCGCTGGTGAGGTCGATGAACTCAATCGCCTCATTCTCTCCCGACCGTTGTCCTTCCTCTGGGTTCCCCTCGTCCAGCCTTTGCCTTTTTTTTGGGTTCCCCTCTTCCTGGCTACTAGGATCACTGTCTAAGGGTAGCTCTATTGGCTCCCCTTCCTTCAGTGGTGGCGGCCCTCTGGTTCCTTGCTTTCTGCCCCCCCTGTTCATAACTAGGTTGTGATCGAGCCCCACATACAACTTCCTTTTCCGAGAGCTTGACTCTCCAGCTTGTCTGGACGACTGTCCCTCTTCCGGCTATTGATGGCGTTGCTGTCATTTTCATTTTCGTACTCCATCTTGCAGTTTTCTTGCTATTTTCTCCTCGCCTGGCCCTGTTCATGCATAACAGTCACGGTACCCCTCGTACATACGCATTCCCGTCCACTCCCATTTGCGGGTTTGGAGGCTTCCCTAGAACTCTTGCTTGCCCCCATATAGTTGGTAGCCCCATTATTCCTTAGAACCCTCGACACATTGTCCCAACACATAGGTGCCCCATGTAGGCAGTCCACAGCATCACCCCCCCAAAAAAAACTATGGTACATTGTCCCAGCCCATAAGTACCTCGCGTAGACAATTCCCAGCGTTACCCCACAAAAACTATAATACACTGTCCCGTGCTCCCAGGCCCAGTCACAGTCAGCCCAGGCAGTCTCCCCACGTTCCACAAAAGTCAAGACACACAAACGAACAATCCCTGTGGTCATGATCACTTCCACAGGGAGGCGGTCCAGAACTTATAGCCAGTTGCCTGCCTTTCAGGTTGTCAGTTCCCTAGTTTCCCTGTTCTGGGCCTCTTGTCACCATTGTTCCACCGGATCCCTGCTAAAAAATCTGGCCAGTCTCTGCCTCGGGAATGACCCTCTTATGCTAGTACCATCAAGATCCTCAAGTTCGAACGTATTTAGTCCCACCAGCTTAGCGATCCTGTAAGGTCCTTTGAATCTCTTTCCGAGCTGCCCAGACCATGTGCTTTCAAGGGCCGAGTTTCTAACTAGCACTTTCTCCCCCACCTGGAGTGGCTCTTTCCGAATGTTCCTGACCTGGTCCCACCTTGCTTTGTCCTTCATTCGGCTATCCGGTACACGGTTAACTACTTCCTCCAATGCCTCCTCATTCCTGGCGACCTGCTGGCAACGTGCGGTGATTAACTCCTCCGTGGTCAAGTGCGGATTATCGTCTAATCTATTCCAGGTAGGGACGAGGGCCTCCTCTGGGAAGTCAATCTCCCTTCCATACCATAGCTCCACTGGAATGCATCCCGTCGTTCTCTTTGGTGTCATGTTTTCGGAGAAGACTGCCTGCTTAAGGTACCGCGGCTAGTTCCCCAAATTGTCTGCAGCAAGCTTAGCGATTGTGTTTTTCAAGGTCCGGTGCCCCCTTTCTACTGGTGCATTTGCCTCAGGATGGTAGGGCTCAGTGATCTTGATTGGTACGCACAATGTCTTAAGCCTGTTCAACACCTCCTGGTTAACGAATTTTGTCCCGTTGTCTACTATAAACCTGTGCACGGAGGGGTGCCTTAGGTAGAAATCTTCCACCCAGTCGGCCACTGTTTTCCCCGTCTTCTTCTTGAGCGCTACGGCCTCTACGTAGCCACTGAGATTATCTCTTGCATCCAAGATGTATCTAAACCCATCTGTCGATACGGGCATAACCGCAAGATCGAGGTGAACAAGGTGCCCTGGTCCCAGTACCCAAGTGGGCCTAAGGGGCTCGTAAACCCATATAGAGCTCCTTTCTTGACATATTAGACACGTCTGACAGTACGTTGCGACCATGCCTGCCATTCCTGGCCAGAAATACAGGGGCACGATCTTTGCAAGTGTCCCCTTGGATGACCGGTGGCCCCCAGCTAGCCCATCATGCATTGCTTGAATTACGTCCAGCTGCCTAGACCTCCCACAAACGACACGTCTAGGCATCATCCCTTCCTCTTTCTTGAACAGGTGGCCGTTTCTTAGGACATACTTTTCGACTTCCTCCCTTGCCTTGGGACTGACTTCCGTGGGTTGTTTGTTTCCTATAAGCAACAGACCGATTTCTTTGAAGACGCCCTCGTACATCTGTATGAGGAAGAACTCTTGTTCCTTCTGATCCGTACCCTGCTCCTCCTGAGTCTGGTTGACCAGGTATTGGCATTCCTTCTGCGCCCAGGTTTCGGCCAACGTCATCACGGTGTCCCGTCCCCCTTGCACGACCATTGCCATCAGTTCCTCTCTGGCCCCAATTTCTGCTCTCCACGAGTCCTTTTCCTCTTTGCGCCTGACCGTGGTGACTGGTCCTTCCCTGAGTTCTGCAACTACTGCAGGCGTGCCCTTTTCCAAGGTTTGAATCAGCAGCTGACCTGTTGTAAGCGTTGGGTCGGCCATTTCGTTATCCACAACAAGGTTCCCCCCTTCGTAATCTAGGAAGGCGTCAATCGGTTCCGCGTCCTCTATTCCCTCCGGCGTGATGCATACCCTACTCAGCCCATCCGCCCTATTTCGAAGCCCCGCGATCCGCTCAACCTTGTAGTCGAACTGCCATATGAAGCCTATCCATCTGCCGACGGTCGGGTCTATAGGCTTGTAATTCTTCAGTGCCCCGACAACATTGGTGGAATCGATCCTTAAGATGAATCGCCTTCCGAACAGATATGCCTGGAAGGTCTTAAGGCAATGCAGGATCGCTAAGACTTCTTTTTTTAACTGTGAGTACCGTCGTTCTGCCGATTTCAAGGTCCTACTCTCGAATTTGATTGGCCTTTCCTTGCCCTCCTCGCTTTTCTGTATCAATACGCCTCCTACTGCCATTGGGCCGCCATCTGTCTCTAGAATGAAGGGCCGTCCTACTTCGTCATTGAAGCAGGGTGCTGCTAAGATAACTCGATCGGATGACAGGATGTCTTTCAGAGTCCGGGCTGCCTCTTCCCTATCCTCGGTCCAATCCATAGTGCCACCTTCCCTAATCATCGCGCGGATAGGTTCTGCTATCTTTGCGAAACCTTTGATGAAGATCCTCCAGAACCCAACCACCCCTAGGAAGGCTCGTACTTCCGTCGTGGTACGCAGGGGTGTCGGCCACTGGGAGATCTTATCCGTCTTTGCTGGGTCGGGTCTCCTCCCATAAGCTCCGCAACGAAATCCCAGTATGGTTACTTCCGGGACGGTCAGGATGCTATTGGGTTCGCTTGCAGTAATATTGTAAACAAGGAATCGCTGGAGTAGGCCCTTAATATCTTGCAAGTGGTCCCGGACAAACTTTCGTACGCCTGGCTCGACCTCCGTCTCGTCCTTGTACCTTGCGCCTTTTACAGGATTATCATCTACATATGGTTCATACTTTTTCGGAAACATATCCCCTGCGACGGCGAGCATCCTTCTCTGCGCCTCTGCTACCGCATTTGTAAAACCCATAGGGGTCACTTGCATCTGCAGCTGCCCTACGGGGGTGTGCATTGCGGTGTACGGTCTATCCCTCGCATCGAGCGGCAACTGATCATATCCTGAGGACAAGTCTACCAGGGAGTAAATACTCCGCCCTGCATGAGATTCAGCCAACAAGTCGGCCTGTGGAAGCGAGCCTGCGTCCCTAATTGTTACCGCATTGAGCTTTTGCAGGTCCTGGGTCCACCTGAGCGTCTTATTGGGCTTCCTGAACACGAACCACTTGTTCGCGTAGGGGGATGCGGTGGGTTCAACCACGAAAGAATCTATCTTAGCTCTAAGCAGGTCGGTGACCTCCGCTGCTATCCCAAACTCGTACGCGGGCCCTTTATCATTCCAACACTCGTGCTGTACGGTGTGGATCCTGACAGGGGGAACTAGCTTTGCGTCCAATCGACCTTTCTGATGATCTTTGAATGCGAAGGCTAAATAAAACTCCTGGCATGCCTTTCTTATCAACTGAGTTTCTTCCGCTGTTAGAAACCCTTCCACTCCTATTTTCATGGTATCTGCTACCTCGTCTGGTATGCGGTGCCCCTCCGTTGCGGGTCTCTCCCTTATAACCCGTAGGATCTCCTCCTCTTTTTCCATGGCCTCTTCCTTTGATGTTTCTACTAGGATCCAGACCGGCTTGGCCTTCTTTCCTACGGGTTTGTATTTTCGCACACTGTCTTCTGGGATCGTTCTCCTAAAAAATAAACGGTCGGGATCGGCCTTGCTACCTCCAAGACGCGGGGCTGGATGCTGATTAGTTTCCCATTCAGGCAGTAGCCCTTTTGGACCGCCTCCTCAAATTTAGCAAGCGCTGCGGGGTCCACCCCCACTTTGTGATACCTGATGGCCTTAACGAGTTGTAATAAATCTGGGATTTCATGTACTACCTCCGACGTTTCGTTCCGGCCTTCCTTTGGTTTGGGCAGGCTGGCCCCAAGTTCGACTTCCGACTCTTTTTCTGCCACCATAACTTCCAGGGACTCGTCCTCTGGCCTCCTCTTCTTTACGGGCAAGCCTATCTTGATCCATTCCTTTTTACTAAAGGCCTCCTCAATCATAATTTCTACCCTTTCCCTCATTCCTTCCATTCGCGCGAATGCCCCCTTTCGTGCACTTTCTTCGAATGTTGGCGACCAGGTTGCCAATTTGCCCTTCGGAGGGTCCCCTCCAGTTCCGAGGAGTCGGAGGAGTTCCCCGCGACCAGTCACCGGATCCTCTATGTCTACCATGTACGTGCCCTCATGCAAGTGCATGCCAATCATTTCTACATTGGCGCACCACGGTCTCCCGAGGATTACGTCGTGATCCATTTCTTCCATCACGGTCATCCGCTGAATGGACCAGATGGATTTTCGGATTCCTGCCCTGACTGCACATTTGGTGACATACCCTGTGAAAGGAATTTCACCGCCGGCCCCCATGTAGTCCCTGCTACTTCCTTGTTTACCGTGCACCCCGTGACCGTTGCGAAATCTCGTCGTATGAGGGTGATTTCTGCTCCGCCGTCCACTAACGCGTCAGTGTGGTGAGTTCCGATTTGAACTTTAAGTTTCCTAACTGGTAATGCATGAAAGCTAAGCTTTGTCCCGGGTGGCGCCCTCATGACTTCGCCACCTTCACGATCCGGTAGGCTTAGGCGGATGTCCGCAAAGGCTTTCTCCAAATCTCCCAGGCCCTCTGGAATGCTTTGGAGGTTGGAGACCCCTTGCGGCGCCGCGGCCTCGCCCCGGCCTCTTCCGTGTCCTGCTCTTGCAGTTCCGGGGCCTCCTCTACCTCTACGCGCCTACGCGTTAGCAACTGCCTAAGTCCTTTAAGCAGCCTCGGGCTGGCTTGCAGCATGGTCTAAAAGACACCGACACCATGGTACCCAGTAGCTTACTCAAGGTGCCATCGATTTCTGGTGAAGTCAGGATCGGAATTTGATACCTGAACTTCTTCTTTGCCGCCGTAGCCTTGTCTACCGGTTCGTCCTCCCTTGGCTTCCCATAGACCTTCTCTTGTTCCCCGGCTTCGGTCTCTTGCTGGCCCGTGCTAGTCCCTGCGAGTTCTTCCATAATTGTATCTTGAATAAGCTTCTTTTCTGCGCCGGCCCGGCGAGTGGTGATATTTACCCTATCCTGGCCATTGCCTTCTAGGATAAAATTGGCCTGTGGTCCCCGTCCCTTGGGTTGGTCCCAGACAATCTCGGCTATGGGCTCTGCTTCCACGGCAGCTATCTCTAGGTTATTCAGGAGGATGACGGCTCGTCGCATCCCTCCTGGCGAGTTCCAATTTACACGCTCCCCCGTGGTCCGAGGATCTCGCCTTTGAGGGACCTACTGCACCTCTGTCGCTCGATATCGTGATTAAGTCTCGGACAGGCCCGTACAAAATGCCCGATCATGGTGCAATACTTGCATTGTTCGTTAGTCGCGTCCCTCCTGCCAAATCCCCGGTTTGCTAAAGCTGCCGAAACCACGGCCTCTTGGGGCGGGAGGCCGGGTCTGGACACTTGCGCTTGCATTACTAACAGCGCATTTTCCATTTTTTCCATCTTGCTGTCAACCCCATGCACTCGCTCGTGCATGCTTTCTATCCCTTTCTTAACCTTATCTCCTGTTTTCTCGGTCAGATCTATGACCTCCCCTTCCTTAAGCAGGGCTAGTGTCTCGGTGACCACTGTTTATTCCTCAAGGTCTGTTACGGTGCTAAAGTCCACATCTCTCGTGTATTCGAACTTACTGGTGTGCTGGTATGCTAACAAAATCTTATCCTTATCAAACTCGGAGAACTGCCTGAGCAAGTATTTACTCATTATGCGGTCCGTTACCCCGGGAATTCGCAGAGCCACTAACGTGAATGCCCTTAGGAAATAGTTGTAAGTCGCATAGTTTTTCCTCTGGACTGCGGCTGATTCAGCCTTTGTTGCCATTTTCTCTGCCTTCAAGTATTTCCTCATCATCTCATTCCTGGTTTCTTTCCAGGATCCACTGGAGGTGACGATGGCCATAATGTCCCTCCCCAAGCTTAGCGACACGTGCTGCCCTAGGTGCTCCATTTTTTCCTCTTCCGTCCATTTCAGTAAGGCTGCTAGGTTCTCATAGTCTATTAGAAACTCCGTAATGTTGGCCCCATCGAACGTGAGTTTCTTCTTTGCATCTGCAAGATACCCCTGATTCTTGTTTAGTGCCCGGGTGAGGGTGGTGACTGTCCTCTTGAGACCACCTTCGGAGCTACCTGCTTCTCCAGCTGCACTGGTCCCTTCCCCTTCCTTGTTTTCCCTCTGCTTCTCCCTGGTTTTCGGCGTTCCTTCTGGGTCAAACCATCCTAGAACCCTTTCCCTAAGGCTCATGAGTCGGTCGCACACCCCTATTACTTTCGGCGTGGCTGGCAATCGGCTAGTGCTGCTGTCGATGGCAAGTGGGGTCATAGCGCTTTTCGTTCCTTCCGTCGGGGGTTCGTTCTTGTCCTTCCCCTTCTTGCTAGGCGTTCCTTTGTGATTATTATCCTTCCCCTCGTACCTGGCCTCGTCCTGACCGATCCTGTGTCCCTCACGTGACCCTACGCCCTGGGGGTCCTCCTCATCCTCGGCCATCATCTGCTCGATAAGCCTTGCCTTAAATTCTGCAGTTTGCTTTTCTATTTCTGCCAATTTACGACTGGCATCCGAGACTTTTGTCTTTTTAGAGGTGACTCCTGCTGAGTTCCGAGGGCGTGTTCTCATCTCGTTTCCCCCTTCCCTGTTTCTCTGAGGTCCCCTTTTGCTACCCCCAGCTTTCCCCGAGCTTTCTCCAATTGAGGAGTCCTTTCCGTCTTCTCGGGTTCCTTCCAGTTTGGCTGACTCTCGATCCCTGGCTGAACCCTCATTTCGTTCCCCATCCCCATTCGTGCCCTGACTCCCTCCGCTCTGCTGGTCATCGATCCCTTCCTCAGTCGCCATTTCTTTACCTAGCCTGCACATGGAAAACATTTTTTTGCGAAAAAGTGGCCGGTTGTTTATAACTGCCCTAGTCCCGACCCTAAAATCCGCCTATTCCTATTTTCTTTGCGTCTTATATTAATCGACCCGACTCTCCTGACTTTTCTTTCCCAGGGCGTCCTTCAGGTTTTTCTCCCGCCGGGGGACTTGCCGCCGCTGCTTGGCATTTTATCACGGCCGCGCTTTGGCTCTTAGGGCGGTGTTTGAGCCCAGTGGCCTCCTCATCGAGGGTGGCCCTTTTGGCTTTTCGACCTGCAAATGCCCCAGAGTTTTCAGGTGCGGGTGGTCTTCCTAGTTCCTCCTTGCCACGCTATTGGTTCGAACGGAACTCCAACCACTGCCCCCTCTATTCATTGATGGCCGCCTACTTATCTTAGTACCCATCCTTAATTTCCCTATTTCTTTCTGACGCGTTCTCTCATGCCGGTCCCTCAGGCCTGCCTTGCTCATCCGGTTCTTCGAACAGGTCGGCCACCCAAGCAAGATAGTTTTCTCCCATCTCTATTTCCCTAACGATTATTAGTTTTCTCCCATCTCTATTTCCCTAACGATTATTGGTTCATACTCCTCAAACGCCAAGTGAGGCAACCCAAATATCAAAATTTCGATCAGGTCAAGTAATTCCCAGGCCTGATTACCCCAGAACGGTCCATGCCTGACCGACACATCGTAAAACATCCCCGTTGTCTGTGGTCGAAAGTGGTGGATCCAGACCAGGGTCGAATCCACTAGGTCCCTAGCCCTCTTAAGGCTGCCAAATACCAGGTCCACCATGAAGCGGGGGACTCGGCACCTCAGCCCTGTCATCGGGGCCTCTCGCCAACCTCCTACTTCCACTCGGGTCCTCAACCCCACATTCCTCCTCCCTCGTACTTCCTGGCCTACTCGGTAGTATTCCCGGTGTATCATCGTGTCCTCATATGTCAGAGTGGCAAGGTCATCTACCGCGCGTCTGATAAGTTCCACTCCGCCTAGCCTTTCCAGCAGAAAGGGCAGCAGTCTCATCCGGACGTTCTCACTGGGTAATTCAAAGCTCCCGACCATGGCTACCCTAAGGTTTGTTGTTACATCATCCATCCCTGGGTCTGCGAATCCGATTCCCGCCTGCCACACCAACTGCCACGCCCCCCTGAACATGCTCAATAGATTTTCCCCTGACGCCAACATAACTCCAAACTCCCGCCACCCATCCTCTGACATATACAACCGCCCTTTTGCACGCACATGCCCCCGCGGGTCCGGGTTCCATTCCCCACTCTCATCCGCACGCCACTCAACTTTCGTTACTAAGTAAACCATGTTTTCCGCAAGTTCGACTCCGACCCAGTCCACTACCTGGTGCCAGCCTCCACTCGCCGCCGGTAAGCTGACCTCTATCCCGCCTGGTACTTCCCTAGGCGGTTCAATGCCCAAGGGGTGTTCCTCGAGGAACGTCCTTCTTCACGCCATCACGCGCTCGCCTTTGATCTCGTGTCTCGCAATCCGCGCTGAACCCTACAATGGCCAGACATCCCATTCCCTTATCTCAGCAATTTTTCCCATATTTGTCTGGCCCCACAGCTTCCCTGCGCTTAGTCGAACCATAGTACTTCGAACAGTTTGAACACATCATCCACGTAGCAAGGTGTTGCTGCTATCTCACGGCGGATTATGGCCTCCCTAGTTTTCGGGGCCACCTCCTGCCGGTCATTCCTTTCGATATCCAAAATGATAAGGACCTACCGGGCTCTATCGCCGTAGAAGGGCCCGTACTTCAAGGACGTCCTATAGAATTCCCCTGCCAGCCATGTGCAGTTCACGTGTATTCGCTCCATCGCGTCGGCTACCTCTGTTACATGATCGAAACCCCCAAACCAGTCCGCCACGAATTCGGGTACCCAGGTCTTGATTCGGGCGCCGGGCGGTTTAAATTCCTTCCATCCTCCCATCACGACTCTATTGCTAACCGTATCCCATCCTTTGTTGGCAAACCTTTCCCCCGCCTGCCGAGCCCTTGCTTCAGCGTCCCCTAAAAGCCACATCGGGTTCTGTCCTGCTGCGAGCGTTGTGCAGAACAGGTGCCAACCTTGTTCAGAGAGAACGATCGTCCCGACTGATTCCACCCTTCCTTCCACAATCTCCTCCCATGCTTCCTGTTCCCTCAACGGGTTCCAAGCACGCTCTATCCATAGGTACGATAGTTCCGGCACAATCTCATACCCCCGCCAATCACATGTGGTCCCCTTCCATTCATTGCTCGGCGGTACTGACATCTCTACTCCCCTCACGACTCGTCTTGGTTCCCATGTGCAGTCCCATAGTTCGAGCTCCCGGACCATCGCTCCCTACCTGCACATAGCCGACAACCCGTCTCCCCAGGTAAGCTCCCCCCTCAAAAGTTCCAGTCCTCTATCTCATCCCTGTCCTCCTCATCACTGAAATCCTCCTCCTCGTCTAAGAACATCTCTTTCACCCCTTCCAAGAAGGTTTCCCTCGCTGCCACGTTTCGGTAAACTATCTGCCGATACACCGGACTGGGAACAAAGCCTTCGTCCGCGCTGAGGAGGTTTAATATCTCAGGTAACTCTTTCGCCCAGTTTCCTTCAAACGGCCCTGCTTCCACCGACAATCTAAAGAAATCTTGTCTAGCACATTGGTACAGCCTCAGGGGTGTCATTGATTGGCATATACGTTCCAGTCTATTCCTGGTCCCGAAGACTGCATCCACCAGAAACGGGGGTAGTACACACCTCATCGTCCTAAGAGGACGTCTCATATTTTTCCGGTCCCCGAGTTCCACTCGCACCTCCATCCTTTCCATCTCCATTTCTGCCCGCTAACATGCCACCCATACCACTTCCCGTTCCGCCTGCCTAAACAGCTGATCCGGTGCCGTGCCCAATACTAGTCCCACTACCATTGCGTTTTCCATTTCTTGAGATAGGTAGATCCATTCTCGAGCTTCCACCGTTCCCCGAAATTCTAGGTCCATCAAGCTAGGCGAGAGTCTCGTCAGGCTGACCTCAGTCCACATTGTCTCTATCCAAAGGAACGCGTCCTTCTTGTCCAGCATCATGGTTTCATAGGCTTTTTCTAGGTCGGTCCATGTCCCTTCTTCCGAGAGAACAACAGATACCCCATCCCTTACTTCTATAGGCATTTCCGGACCACTAGAGTAGACAGGGGGCGACAACCATCGCGCCATCTTGTTTTCCCGGCGCCTATCCTGTTTTTCACATGAGAGCACCACACGGCCCTTCATGGTCAGATGGTTTGCTTATCCCTTTTCTAGATGAGAGTTGTTTTCAGACCCCTCACCCGGGTCTCCCTAACTTTTCTTATCCATTTCCCAGGTGCCATTGCCCTACCATACCCCCCCCAATCGATCATGCTTAGCCGGCATTGCTTTCTCGGGGTTCCTTTTCCTCCCGACTCCTATCCATCCTCTTCCTCATGTTCTCTCACTCGTGCGGACTTAGACTTGGAGGTGAGAATAGACTTAGAAGCTCGGTCCCCATCCGCCATTCATCAGGCAACTTTACAGAGGGAGGCACAAAGGAAAAACTCATGCAGACATCACACACAGGTTGGTCATCTCCGCACCGACCTTTTCCCCGGAAATGGTCTCTCCACTGTTACTATCGGCAGGGCCTTACCCCATACCTCAAGCACAACTCAACCGTCGCGAGCGCGGTACCCAGGTCTCGGCAAGGCATTCGCCCTTTCCTCCTTACCCAGAATACCCCATCCCGACTTGCCACTCGTGTACCCACCGTTAATCTCGGGAATCACCCCGCACATCTCGGTGAGGCCATTAGAGCCGGTCGTCCAGGCATTCACTTCCATCGGTCCGATAAGGAACAACTTTTCCCAAACCAAGCTACGAGAAGCTACTAATCGCCTCCGAGGTTCCCTCCTTGCCCCATACGCAATGGTCCCCCTGCTGTCTGCCGACAAGTAGCTGCCCCGCCTGAAGGTGTTTCGCATCCCGCCTGGGCAAGGTCATCGAGCCATGCTCGGACCGCTCAGGTGAGAATGTTACTAACCAGCCGACGAGACCAACTCCTGCCTGACAGTTTTGGTGGCCCGACCCCGCGCATGGAACCCGACGAACTTCAAAGAGAACGACTTTTTGCAACCCGCATCGACTGGTGCAAACCAATCCTTTCCTTCCAAATGGCAGGACGCTCGAAATCCCACTCATGCAATCACAAGTCCCAAGTGGGACACACATAACACAAGTGCTTTTCCCCTGGTGCCCCCAACGCTTCCTACCCATAGCTCACAATTTTTTTCTCTCGGGACAGTGCGTGCCACTCACCCCTAACTTCCATACATAGTGCCTGGTTCCTTCTCGTGAGCATCTTCAAGGTTGAGCTAGTTTGTCTTGGAGTCTAGCAACTCCTTTCATTCCCTTATCTTCGCTTGCGTGTCCGTTCATAGGGGAGGATTGTTCCTTCTCGATTATCCTTTGTGTTCGTATGAGGTTCCTTCAAGCATTAAGTGTGGTGCATGGAGCCCGCTGGGCTTCGGAGAAAAGGAAAAAGAGCACCCATGTCGGTCGGATCACTCCGCCGCAGGATTTTCATTGGAACCCGGACTGACCCGGAATCCCAACCGCCTGCCACGTAACCGGAGCCCTTCTTTCGCACGAAGAGGAAGGGTCGACCTGCGGCTTGCCCAAGGCTTCCCCGTCCTGACGAACATCAGTCCGAGGGAAGGAGGACTAGAATCATCTCCAAGGGAGATGGCTGATCAAAAGTGCAAGCATGCATGTTCTTCCTCCAGGCCTGGCCTTGCCATGCGCCCAGCCACCTTCAAATCTGATTTCACTCAAAGGATAGAGCATACACAAGTCCTCATTCCTTGTCTTTGATTATGTACACGGTCATGCGTCGGGCACCCCCTTCGAGATCGTCAGGGTCAATTTAACCCACTGCCCGTCAGCTCCACCATTTTTGTAGGGGCCGTTCCCTGAAGGACTTTCGAGCCTCGGTCGACCCTACTGCGGGTCCCATTTGGCTCGACCCGCCCTCGCTCACGCTCAGGGCGCAGCTCGTTTGTCCCACGGGCACCCCCACCTAGTGCTTTGAGATGGATGGGGGTGGGCCTTTTGCGAGAGGGCTTTACATTGGGGGATGTAGTTCCGCTCTCGCGTCAAGATGGTAGCTCTTTGGCACTCGTGGCGTTTTCTCGATTCATTTAAGTCTGATCAGGCAATTGCTCCTTCCAATACGCAAGCAGTCCAGGAGGTTCATTGGGATCTCATCTTCTTACCGTGCGCAGGCCAAGCGTCATCGATTGGGCCACGCACCTTTTCACTAAGCTTAGTAGCTCAAGCCATCCCCGACGGCATCCTTGGGGTGAGGCGGCGACGCTCGGACCCCTAGCCGGTATATTTTTTTACGAGAGCCACTAGCATCACATCCACCTACCCAAGACCGCCCTTAGTCTTTTCAGGCGTCGCATCGCACATGAGAGAGAGACGTTCCACGCAACCCCACACAAGCCGAGTCCATGCATCAAACACCCGCCCAAGCGCCGGCCACAACTCAACCCGCATTCACGGCTTAAGCCGGGTCCAAGTCCTTTCCCTTTGCCAATCTCCCGTCCTAGTCCTCATCCGCGGATCCAGCCCCGTCCGAATCGTCCCAAGCTACTCACCTGCGCAAGACCACATAAGAAAATGACCAATTACAATCCCCATTGGGGTCAACACATCGCCCCTTCCCGCAATCCCAAGTCCCCTTTGCCTTCCAACTCCCCGTATGAGTTCCCTTCCCTTTTCCCGCAAGCAAGCCATCCAATGGCCTTAGTCATGCAGTCCGGGAGGATGGTTGAGTCAAACTGACCTCGTCCAAAATCAGCACTCCTTTCCGCTTTTGCAAAAGCTCTCAATMGTCCCGTAACCTTTCCCTCTTRGCGGCACAAGGGACCGRCAGCCYTTCCCTTGCCCTCGCTTTCCACCAAGTGAGGACTAAGTTCCTTTCCGTTCGTTGCCTGGCAATGTAACAGGTGAGGGTAGGGGTTAGTTACATACCATGGAGGGGAAGGGGCGGCGAAAGGTTTAGGGGTTAGAGAATTTTGAAGGAGTGGAGGAAGGCGGAGGAGAAGGGAGAGAAAGAGAGAGAGAGAACGAGGAGGAGAAAGAGAAAATCAAGCAGTTCTCACATCCTAATCGACCTCGCCCCCTCTTGACCTACTTCTACCCAAGATCCCATCTACCCCCCTCCCCTTGCAACCCTCATGACTTCTGGATGGATGTAGGTGATGGAGGCGAAAGAAGGGTTGGGGGTGGTCGGTTATGGTGGATGGGTATAAGCGATGGAGGAGGAAGAAGGGTTGGGAGTGGTTGGCTATGGTGGATGGGTATAGGCGATGGAGGAAGAAGGGTTGGGAGTGGTTGGCTATGGTGGATGGGTGTAGGTGATGGAGGTGGAAAAAGGGTTGGGAGTGGTTGGCTATGGTGGATGGGTGTAGGTGATGGAGGTGGAAGAAGGGTTGGGGGTGGTCGGCTATGGTGGATGGGTGTAGGTGATGAAGGTGGAAGAAGGGTTGGGGATGGTCGGCTATGGTGGATGGGTGTAGGTGATGGAGGTGGAAGAAGGGTTGAGGGTGGTCGGCTATGGTGGATGGGTGTAGGTGATGGAGGTGGAAGAAG